TGTGGGCTAATGACATGGCAACCATTTTAAAAATATCGATGAAATGGTAAATCATTGTGATACGTTTTAAAAGAAACTATGCACAATTACAATTTAAATATATAAATGCAAGTGGTCGAGTGTGATCATCTCTGAATGCATCACATGAACGCTTTTCGCAAAAGGCAAATTATTGCACAGCTTCCGAACAGCTGCATAGGTTAGCATAATTCCAAAAAGAAATCATTTCTAAATATTTTAGAAGAAAATACCTTTTTGTAAATCGCTCTAGTCATTTTAACTATGTTTAATAACGTTTAAGTGTTACCGATAATCATTTAAAAATATGTTTGTTACCTAAATCAGTTTTAATTTAAAAGGCAGTTTATAAGGATGGTATGCATCACAAACCGTCATATATACTGAACAAAACTTAATAAATATTCCAGTTTACCACACTAGTCAGCACCCAGCCTTACACTATATATTATTGTATTATTTAACCGTTAAAACGTAAACACTTTGAAGCACAGAATATTTTTACTGATGTAGTCCTCATTTCTGGTCAGTAAGCTGCTTTAAATCAGACTGAAAAGTAAAAATGTATTTGTAAGATGATGTTTACAACTCTAAATGCTGAATTTAGCAATACTATCAATACATGTACTGACACATGAAGTACGCCAAAATATTCAATTTAAACTAATCAGCTCTGAACTGGTGAAGACCGCATTGTGGTCTTCTGGGTTGCATCTGGCAACCAACGTTTCGGAGAAAGGTATCGCCTCATCCTCAGTTTTGAAGTCAGTAAACATGGGGCCTGGATAGAGTCGTAGTTGTCTATAAATATGGGATTTAGCCACTGTTAGTCAGCTGTAATGTGGATGTAATATTATGAACAATACATGAGCATTAAGGCAGGAAACTAGAAGACATTTTGGTACTCATTTGCCTCTGTCTGAACACATTTTTCTGATAAGTCTTGGCTTAAACATTAAGAATCATTTATTTACAGATTTCTTTATACTGATAATTGATTTTTTAAACAGGCCTTGATTATGTACTTAATCTTGCACAGGTAATCAACTTTTGACGTGAAAACTCTAAATCTGCCAAATATTAAGAATATAATGTTATTCAATTTCAAACTAGAACTTTACTCTTTCTAGTTTATTCTAAAGCACGAAATATATAACATTTCTCTTAAGAAAGCTCCACATTATCAGTTAAAGAAACATTCTACTGTATTTAAGTTTGTGGCTGTAATATTCAGCCTATCCATAAGAAATTTAGAAATATTTGTATATTTTTTGTGGTAATAGGAATGAATACTGTGTTTTGACTTGTGATAAATACATTTCATTACGTATAATTGTAATTAAAAGAATGAATAAAACAAAATAATAACTGTATTAATGATACTTGAACAACAATACATCTTATACTGTTTGAAAATATACGTTTCCAATATGTACATATGATGTTAACAAAAACAATAAATGCCATGATATTTTGTGTCTGAAGTTTTTGTGCTCGTCTCTAAATCCAATACTGATGAGCAGTCCAACTCCATGGAGAACAGTCCTTGAGAAGTTCAAACTGGCTTAGCTACCCAATAAATGACACGCCACTAAACCCCATTCCGAACCATATCAGTCTAGCCTACATCCTAACACTTTTAAAATTTTGTCAAATTCCAGGGCTTTAGTACGCTATTTATTTTACAGTGAGGAGTCGTTAGCTCCCCATGCAACTCCCAAGACGGGGTATTACCTCCTTTCGGCTGTCCGCGACAGACTATTTAAACCTTTGAAGTCGAAGCTGATACAAATAATATTTAAAAATTCAAACCACACCCCAAAGAAAAAACAGCACTTCAGTGTTTCAGAGACTAAATGGTTAACGCCGTTTAAGGATATAATACCTCTTGGAAGATCGTTAAAGAAAGTGGTACATGTAGTTCCCACTGGACTCTAAAGGGTTAACAGTAATCTGCTGCCACTACATCCCGTGGGAACGAATAATCGTCATAACGATCAGGTCCTTCATGAAATTTAACAGATGTTCCAGCAGAGGAACGTGTAACATCTCAGGCTCTTACCAAGGAATGTGGGTTCAGAACTAGTACATGCCACGTGAAATTCGGTGGGGAAAGTGGAAAGGGGTTTCCTTAGAACACACCATGCACTCATTGTTCATATATCACTGTCATTGATGTGTGTAAGACGCATCAGCTGGCATAATAGTTACTTCTAAAATTATCAATCTGTTTAGCCATTTGGCAGGACCCCTTAGACGAGTGCTCAGCCCATCGAAAGACTTCTGCCTACACAGGACAGCACAATAAAGAAAGACGGAGCCAAACATAAATGTATTTTAATCAGTTTATTACCCACTTGTGTGAACAAAACGTAATATATCACATAATATAAAACAGATCTTATTATTCTTGTATTTTTAATGAGAAGATATTCTTTAACAATACTTCAGGTAGCCAACGGTCAACAATTTCAACTTCTACCCACATAAATACTGCAAAAATAAACCTACTTTTGAGTAAAGGCGAACTTGTGTTACTGCCAAGTCTATTACGCGTCTGTAATGCATTTTGTCTATTAGCCTAGAACAGGGGTTATCAACTATTCAAGACCTGGCGCTACATCCATCCTTTGTTATTGACTGTCTGGCCACATATTTATCAGGGTAACGTTTAAGACGCCATTGAAATTTATTAAAAAATCTACTAAATTATGTCTACCATTGCAAACAGGTTTGCATGTTGCTCAATAAACTTCTTCAACAAACTTAGTCATTAGTCATTACGTGAAACTGCTTTTGCTTGTCATTTTCCAATATCTGGTTATTTACCACCGTACCCCTGTGTGTCGTAAGAGGCGACTCAAAGGGAAACCTGATGCCTGGGGGTGTAGCTAGGCCACTCTGTCTCAGGAGGACATAAATTCGGAGGTCTAATCCTCCAGGTTGGGGGTTGGACATGGGACAAACAACCACGCATCTTAAAAACAAATTGTTACGAAATCCAAGACAGCGGCACTGAACATAGAAGCCTGGAGGAAGGTTTCGAAGAAGACCAGGGTCCACACAGGGCCGTCGAGCTAATGATGATAATCAGGTTACTTAATCTGGCTGGGATTCGTATGCATCCCTCCACGAGTTCATCTTCAGGACGAGAATAAGTTAACACATATAAATTGTTGCTAAACCTGACGATTACGACAACAGAACTCTATTACTATCAGTTGGATTTTTTTTAGAAATACATAAAATGTGCTGTATTACGTTTTACATGAAATCCTTTCTGTTATTTGTAAATCTTTAAGTGGTTTATGTTTGTAAATAAACAAACGTATCTGTTATATTTGCGTGTTATCTTTAATTTCCGCGTATTACTCAGGATTTCGATTGTCGACAAAAATATATCTGGCAACTAAGCTGAATAATAAAGAGTTTACCAAATGTTTATAATTTATCTCCATGCCACACTTATGTATGTTTACCTACAGCAGTTAATTATTCGGCTTATCTGTTCCGAATGGCAGTGTAAATATAGATTATCTGTAAAGGTTGAGGATCTCATGACGGTAAAGAAACTTATTCTGGTCTATTGGTTATAAGACCATGTGGTCCTGTAGCCTGTTATTAACGTTTTTGAATGGACACATCGCTCCCATTTTAAGGATTCAAGACTTAGAACCTGAAGATATGATCCTCCTAAAACATGACCACATTTAAAACCACATGGCGTCACAACCCAGAGGACTAAACATAGATGTCAATTTCGCGAGAATGCTGTGTTGTTGCTTTACACGTCATACAAATGTGTTATTTGTCTGGAAGATGTCGCTACACAAATTATCAGGATCCTATAATGAATGGACCAGTTAAGGCTCCTTAAAAATTCTCACAAACGAGAGAAAATAAACCTCAATATGTGGAAAACCAGTTTTTGTTACAAATAAAGACTTCGCTAAAGACGTCTTCCGGCACGCTGCGACACGTAGTCTGGTAGAAGTTTGCCGACTTTTCAACAATCGCCCTGATAATAAACGCAGAAGTCACCTCTGGAAATTCAGTAAACTTCTATACCGGATTACACTGTGCAGTATCCCAGAAGACAGTCATCTTCATACTTGCCGCCATGGGAACCTAAAATCTCGCCAAGACGAATTCGAAAAAAAATGTGCACAACAAAAGAGGAAAATCAATACTGCTTTTTTTTACGGAAACACTTAAATTTCTGTTTTAAGCCAATGGGGATGACGAACCGGCAGAAGTGACCATACTGAGTGTGGAGGCGGAGTCGGAGTCGTGGAGCGAGGGAGCGCCCTTCTGCACTGCTGTGTGCCAGGTGGTGGAGTTCCCAGGGGGCTATGAATTTGTCGATACGAGGCTTTGCATGGCGGAGCGGGACCCGCGCAGTGAATCGATATTCTCACTATGTTGTATTGATCGCACACAATACAACCGGGTAGATTTCTATTTGCGCCGATGAGCAAACTAGCCAGGTTTGATAAGCGACACTGATCGAATTGCTCTACACCAAAGGAGGTTATGGCAGACCTTCTTGCCTTCATTTATCTCCATATAGGAATATGTGTTTACTCTTGTAACTATAATATAATAGTAAGAGGTGGGAACCCAAAATCCTACTTAATAA